CGGGTAGGTTTTTAACACCTCTATAGTTGATTAACTTCTGCGTAATTATGTCAATGTTAATCGTACTTGTTTCTGCTAACAATCTTAAAATTAAATGGGTTCACTTATGAAAAATGACATTTTATTTTTCACAAAAGAATGTGTATGACAATATTTAGTATATGTATATTAACTTATTACTCTTATATATTGCACGAGGAGAGTATCTTAATGTTCCATTTTTAAACTGTATTTTTTTTTCCTATTCAAACTCCTCTAGCTTTCCTCTAAAAAATAAAAATGAAACCCCAATGATCTCCTTGGAGTTTAGGCAGCACAAACCCTATCTTTAGTAAGATCATTAATTTAGTTTTAATTACCTTTATTTCGGTGCCTAACTTTAGAACTCAATTGACACCCTAAGGCCCCGTTCTTTAGAGCTATGCTCTGCTCTGCTTCAATCTGCCTTACTCTGCTTAAAAATTAACACTTAATATTGAATTATTATAGTAATAATTAATATTTAATAATAATAATAAATAATAAATAATAAATATTTAATAATAATAATTAATATTGAATTATTATTATGATAATAATTAATAATAATAATAATATTTAAAATTAATATTTAATAATAACAACAATAAAAAATTAATATTTAATAATAATATTATTATTATAAATTAATAATTAATAATAATAATATTTAAAATTAATATTTCATAATAACAACAATAAAAAATTAATATTTAATAATAATATTATTATTATAAATTAATAATTAATAATAATAAATAAATAATATTTAATAATAATAATAATATTACTAAAAATTTATATTTAATAATAATAATAAATAAGTAATATTTAATAATTAAAATAATAATTAATATTGAATAATAATAATAAATAATTAATATTAATAATTATAATAATAATAATAATTAATATTTATTAATAATAAAAATAGTAAAAATAATAATGATAATAATATTTTATCAAAAATAATTAATGACAATAATAGTAATAATATTACTTATTATTATTATTATTAATATCAATAATAATAATAATAATAATAATTGATTTTTAATAATAATAATAATAATAATAATAAAATAATACTTACTAAATATTATTATAATAATAATATTTAATAATGCGATAATATTAATAGTTGTTGTAGTAGTAGTAGTAGTAATAATAATAATAATAATAATAATAATAAAATAATAATAATAATAATAATAATAATAAAATCTGCTCTGCTCGGTTCTGCTTCAATGTGCTCTGCTTTGCCCGAAAGCTCAAAAGAACAGGGTCTAACTGAATAATGAGCTAATGTGAATCAATTAATTATATCTAAATAATGATTTGTGAGTTTTTTTTTTTTTTAATTTCAACTACTCCTTATTATGTAAAAAGAAAGGGGCTTCGTTTTCCAATAGCATCAAGCCATCAATGGAGGAACAAAATTTTATTTCTTTAAGACATGAAATTTACTTGGATAATTGACGATTAAGGGACCAAGGCTAATCTTAGCACCAAGGATAATTGATGAATCATGTTTAGTTACCTTTTTTGGTACTTAAAGGTGGAATGTTGCTCTTGTTTATAAATTATAACTAGTGTATGAGGGAGTGGTTTAGTAGATTCTATGGTCAACTGATGTGTTGAATAATGAAGGATTAAATTTGTTTATTAGTTCTCAAATTAGATTAGATGTGGATTTTGAAATTATTGCTCTAAAAAGACCCCTATAATTTAAGAGCAGTATTTCAAAAGGAAATTTTGGTGGAACAACTATAATCTCCCGTGATAAATTAATAGTTTTGTAATTCAGAGTTCTCTCGACCCTTCTCTCTCTAACCCCATCCTTATCTTTCACCGCCCCTCCTTCTTTCTTCAGCCCTGCTCGCCGGCGACTGGCGTTTCGCCTAGCCGTCGCCGGCGAGCCCAGTCATCCCGTTAATACCCCTTTTTGCTATTTTATTTTTAGTTTTTTTGGTCTGTTTGGCGAAGAATACAGGGAGGCAGGGAGCTCCAATCCTCTTCGGTAATTCGTGGGTTTTGGTATATCATCAAGGGTTTCGGCATATCGTCAAGTGTTTTGCGACTAGTTTCAAGGACTAAAGAACCAACGGGCTACCCTTAACGCCGCCGTTGAAAGGATTAATCTAATTTCCCGACGGTAAAAGGTGAAGTTAAGGCTAGGGTTTCCTCGCGTATCTAAAGTTAGATTTAGTGAGGGGTTCTTTTTCTGTTGCCGCTGACGATTGTCCGTGGTGTTGAGTTGGTTGTTGCCGGTGAGGTCTTTCCCTTTCTTGTTGTTCCTTCCTATGTTCTTTCGTTTCTTTGTGTTCTTGTTTTATTTTAATTGTTGTTTTGTTTTGTTTGGTTTTATTATGTTGTTTTTGTGTAAGCTTCTGGTTTGGTTGGTTAAGTTGTTGTCTTTAAATAAAGTTTTTCAAGTTATAGAGGGTTATGAAGTGTGGTCGTTGTTCTCGGCGCCTTGTTGGTTGTTTTTAGGGGTTGTAAGGTTTATCAATCCCTTGTTAGTTTGGTTGGCGGTCCTTTTAGTTGCTTGTTCGGGGTGGGATTGTGTTATGGGAGGTTGTCATGTTGCATGTGTGGCTTCCCCCTTTGTCAGTTTGGGTGATGTCCTCTGTGTTTGTGCTGTTATCCAAAGGCTAGCGATATTTATGCAAGCAAAAAGTATTCCTTGCATTTGGAGTTTGCAGGGGGTTGTACATTAGCCCTGTTGCTTATTGGTTGCGGGATGATATAGGTTTTCATTCAACGACTATCATTCCAGTGTCGGTGTTGGTGTTGATGATGACAAAGACAGTCATCATTAAAAATTTCAATCTTGAAGGAGGCTCCCCATCTTTAATGTTTGGGGTAAGCAAAGTCCTCCATCTTCTTGCATTCTATATAGGTAGAATTGCAGGAAAGAAACCTACATTTTGGTGTAAGGTTTCTCTTGGTAGAGTCGTGAAAAAATTCGACTCTCATGGTTTGGCTCCCGGACTCTTAGGAGGTGAATCCTTAGGAGTGGAGTCGGGTGATGGGTCCTTTTTTCAGCAACAGGGGGCTTTTGACTTTCGAGTGTATTGTCTCTACACTTCTTCCGCCGGGATTTTTCATAGGGATTATGCTAAGTTTCGGTTCCCTTCTTTAGTGTTCGCTTGCATTATCTGTCCTTCTCCAAGGTTTTGGTTTGTTTGGCAACTTTTGGTCCAACAAAAGGTTTTGGTAAGAACCTTTTGGTTATCCGGGCTCCGAGATGTTTGGTATGATGCACATGGGTGTATTCATTCATTTCTCTTTCCCTCTAATGGTTTAGTTAAGTGGGTTTTGTTGTTTTTAATTTCTTGTTTTAGATCTCTTATTAGGTTGTAATTTGCCTTTATTTATGAAGTTCTCATTGTAAAAAAAATAAAAATAATACATAAATAAATCTCCCTTCAGTGAGACAAATAGGTATTAAATTAAGTCCTAAGTGATCATCTTTGCACATTTTAACCTTGACAATGACTTCTTACTAGACCTTTCACCTTTAGTCCTTGTGTGAAGTTCTTTGGTAACCCTTACTAAGTTTAGAAGTTTAAACTCTACATATATTAAGTATTAGTAAAAAAGATTAAGTAAAAATAAAATAAGTATTTTTTTTTTAAATTAATTTTATTCAATACTAACATCTTTTTATCCTATAAAGTTATTTTACAAAGTCTTATACGAGGTTGGCCAGCCACTTTAGAGGTTGTACTTTGCTAGTGTACGTAATGGGGGTTACTTGGTCAGTATTAAAGGGGTTACTTCGTCCTTGTTATAGAGTTACTCAATTAGTGTTATAGGGGTTACTTTGCTAGTGTAATTGGGGTTACTTGGTCAATAGTAAAGGATGGGTTACTTTGCTAGTGTAATGGGGGTTACTTGATCAGTATTAAAGGGATTAATTTATCATTGTTATAGAGTTACTCAGTCAGTGTTATTGGGGTTACTTGGTCGGTATTATAAGGGTTACTTAATCAATGTTATAGGGTCACTTTAAGTGGCTACACATTGTGATCGACCGCACACAAGACGGGCTGAAATTATTTATTCTTAAAAAATATCTTAATTTCACTTATTTGGTATTATATGTGGCATGATTATATTTAAATTGCATGATACTTGTTGAAAAGCTAGAATAACAATTGTCACTGTATCATGGTGGGATTAATATCTTAATTTCACTTATTTGGTATTATATGTGGCATGTTTATATTTAAATTGCATGATACTTGTTGAAAAGCTAGTATAACAATTGTCACTATCTCGTGGTGGGATTGTAAATATATATTGTATCAATATTTAAGAGAAACAAATGATTGAAATAATATATTATATTCATCTAATTGATTTTTTTACTTTTCGTTAGAATTTTAAGGGAGGTGACCAGGCCCGTTTTCGAGATTTTGGTGGCCTAGGGCGAATCTATACATTGGGCCCTAATTAACTCGTAATACTTTTAAAATTAAATATTAAGGGTATACACTATATATATATATATATACACACACAAAGATAATTAAGCAGCCTCAATTTTGATTTTTAATCCACATGTCACATACTCACATCTGAAATTAAAAAATACGGAAGAAGATCATTGAGTGTATCTCGAATTAATGTCTACAAAATTTTTAGAAAAAACTGGATTTCCTATTATTAATAATAAGTTGTTATTGAAAAAAAAAAATTAATAAAATAAGTAGAATCACATGATTACTGTAGATACCATTGCTATTATTCTATCTTTAAAAAAATTCTAATTCTCTGCTAGCTTGGGACAATAGTCAAACAAACTTGGTTCGTCTTATTCTAAATTAATTCAACAGATTTACATACTTTAATTTATCGAAATTGTAATTCAACTTATAAACAATGCAAAAATATAATATAATTACAATTAAAAAAAGGAAATCAGATATAAAAATTTATAACTTAAAAATTCAAGGGAAAACAAAAACAAAAACCTTTTGATCAGAGATGTTCAACAATGGAGTAATGAATTCATCATTAATTAAATAAGGATTTGATTTTAAAAGAAATTGAATATGAGTTGGATTTAGAAAGAGTAAGTAGAAATTTGAGGACAGAATTAATTTCAGTAGGCATTGGAAACTAAAAATACATTGCGAAAATTTAGGGTTGAAGAACTTGGGGAAAAGAAGAAATGCTTTAAATACACTGTATTTTTTTTTTTTTTAGGCTCCTAATTTTTATCAGTATAACCATTTTTGGGCTTTCTTACTTTGGGCCCTGGGCGGTTGCCCCACCTGCCCCGCCCCAGCGACGGCCCTGGAGGTGACAAGCTATTAGTAGATTAACTAACTGAATTAATCTATATTGTCTCTAAAATCACGAGTTTTATATATAATATAGCCTAACTCAAGACTTAATTAGTATTCATCACACTTAAATATTTTGTCAATCCTTAATCAAATATTATTTTATATGATTTAATGTCTCTAAAGTCTAATCCTAATACAATTACTCAACAGAACAAATTTGGTGCATATCATAAATAAAATTAAAACCCTTAATTAAAATAGAATGCAAACCATAATCTTATTCTAATCAAATCTAATAAAACTACTAACTAGCTTGGTGTTCATACTCTTTTAACTGACACATCTCCATCAAATGTAGTCTCTCTTTCCAATCTATGGCTAGCTTCTAAGAAAGTAGCAGGTTTGTACCACTTAGCAAATAACACATATATCACAACATCAATCGCCGTAAGTGTCATAATAAGAAAATAAAACCTATCCACATGTCCGTGATTCAAATTGGAAGGTATCCATCCTGGACTGTCACCTCTCGCTGTGATTAGCATTACCATATGAACTAATAGGCTACTAACATAATTTCCAAAAGACATGGATGCCATGCAAAGCGAGCTGCCAAAAGATTTTATCCCATCAGGAGCTTGTCCATTGAAGAACTCAAGTTGCCCAACATACATAAAAACTTCTGAGGCACCCACAAGAACATATTGTGGGATTTGCCATAACACGCTCAAAGTGCTTTTTTCCTCATGATTTACAACTCTTTTAAGACGTTCAATTTCTGTAATTCCAGCAGCTACCATAGCTAGCATACCAATGATAAGTCCTACTCCCATTCTTTGGAGCTCAGTTAATCCCTTAGGATTTCCACTTAATTTTCCAAATATAGGGACGAGGATATGACGATATATGCCCGTACAAATGAGGACACTACAAATGTCGAATACAGACATGCTTGCTGCTGGGAGGTGGAAATTGCCTATTTTTGTGTCCATGGCATCGCCTTGTTCAACAAAGAGTGAAGCCATTTGAGTGAATATGACCGAGTATATGATGGTGCAAAGCCAAAGAGGGAGGAGTTTGAGGACACATTTGGCTTCCTCAACTTGTGTGACCGTGCAAATATGCCATGCATTTTTTGGTTCCGATGTATCTTCACGAGTTATTATTGCCGCCTTATCTAAAAACCTGCCATTAGTGTATATAATTAATCTTTAATGAAATACCAAAGATAAAGAAAAGTATTTTACTTCGTATGTTATAAACACTAATAACATTACTAAAACACTAATAAGATACATTTTTTTTTAAACCAACACTAATAAGATACATTAGTATATTATTGAAAATTTCCAAGTATTTTTGTTTTATTACCCTGCTTTTTCTTTTTTTTATTAATAATCATAAACAATCCTTTATTTTTATTATTCTTTCTTTTTTTCTTTTCATAAATGGGTAGTTAATTATTACTAGCTTTTTTTAACAGGAAACACTTGTTAATTGTTATTGTACCATTAATTTAATAAGAATTTTATGCTAAAATTGACCCCTAAGTATGAAGTCCAATCTAATAGCCTCTTGAATTATTTTTTTTCCCCTACAAACATATTTATCCAAATTCTACAAAAGTAAGAGAGCTTGTATGTTTACCCAAAATATTCCGAGTGAACAATCTTCCTCGTTCCTTTGATAGCAGACTCGGAACCTCCAACTTCATAGAGCTCATTTGGATTAGAAACTTTGATATTACACTTCCTATAGGCAGCAACAAACACTTGAGCAACGCGCGGCAAAGGGTTGCCGCACGCTTTAATGAACCGGTAGCCGGGTGTTCCAACCACAAAGAGAATAACTCCCAAAAGAGCAGCAGCAAATGATACCCAAAATCCAAGAGTCCAATACCCATTATCCTCATAATACACCAAAACAGTATTGGAAAACAAAGAGCCACAATTTAGTGCAAAATAGAAGTAGCAAAAGAATGCTGCTTTAGAAGATTCTCCTTTTGGGTCAGAGTCATCAAATTGGTCTGCCCCAAATGTTGCACATGTTGGTTGATGTCCTCCGTACCCCAATGCAACCATATAAATTGATATGTAGAATATTATTTCACCAATTACTGATGTTTCTTGACACACCAATTTACCATCACCACAACCTTTTGGATCCAACAAGAATAGCCATGATGTCAATGAAAGTATCACCAACCCCTAACAAGGAAAAAAAAAAAAACATGATTTGCATGTCATTAGATTATGAAACGAATTAAGACTTTAATTTACATTTTTTTTTCGTGTAAAGAGAGCTGCAAAAGCAATGATGTAGACAGGATTTGATCTCAAGTCTTGGGTACCACCTTTAAGACTTTAACTAACTAAGCAAGCTGACATCTACACTAATACACTACATTTAATTTACTACATGCACCTGTATATATTAATGTATATACGCTAATCAAGATGATTGGTATTAGGTGAATTACAAAATAGATTAAGAAAAGTTTAGTAGCATACCAAGAGAAGAATGAGTTGGAAAACAGTGCAAGTGAGGAAACGACCCCAATAAGAGTCACTAAGAAAGGCTCCAACAAGTGAGAATAAGTAAACAGTGCCAGTCCACACACTAACATTATTAGCAGCAACAGCATTCTCTTGTCGTAGTACTCTTGTTAAGAACAATACCAAGTTCACACCAACCCCAAAGAATGCTAGTGTTGCTAATGCTTGGTTTGCTGCATACAAAAAGAAAAAAATAATATAAATTACACGAGTATGGAGTATCGATATATGTTTGTATAAATGTAGATCATACGAAGATATATATACTTCCTCTGTTCCCTATAATCAGTGAAGATATACAAAGCGAGAAAATAAATAAATACCTAAAACTAGAATTGCTGATTTCCATCCTCCTCTTTTCTTCTTGAAGGAAGGTGCAACTACATTTGGTGGACTAATAGGAGTAGCATTTTCCCTTGAATTGTTGTCATCATCATCATTGTTGTTAATACAACTTTTAAATCCATTGTCTGCCTCTTCACGTTGTTGAATTACGTCTTCACTTCTCTGTTTACAAATTTTCATAGAAAAAAATTGTTCTATAAATGACTAAAATGATAAATGAGAAAATCATTGATGAGCTGCCACGTGACATGCATAAAACATTCCAATATATCCCTATGTTGAAAATATAAATAACTACTCCGTAATTCCTTATTATATAAGCTCTTCGGACTATTCTATAGTCCAAAATTAGCAGTATATATTATAAATTTATAAATGGTATGACAACTTTTAGTTAACTTTTCCAATTTACTCTTAATATTCTAGCGAATCTTGTATAGGTAAGGTATACGATTTTGTTTCGGTACGACAAAATGAAACTACATACTAACCTTTTCAGCCATTTCATGGATGTGGCTGGGGGAACTTGTTCCTGCCATTCGGAATTAATCCTGTGAAGAAAAATTAACGACAAATAAATTAAGTCCTTAACTATGTTTCACAACTTATATGCACGCATTAAGGAAAATAAATCTATTATTAGAAAGAAAAAGTATATGCGTTCTAAATCCTAAAATGTGACCGAAAGTTTATGATAAAACTAGCTAGTTAATTACTTGGTATAAATCTAGATTTTCTATCATAGGTATAAACTAGATCCTAAAATAAATCTAGAACTTATATTTGGTGTAAATCTAGAACTTATATTTGGTGTAAATCTAGATTTGTTCATTCATATAAATGATCTTACTTTAACATCCTACATTTTATTTATTTGACAAAACATATCGAGCAACTAAACTATAGGTGGCATAAAACTAACCATAAAAAACCAAATTTTAACCAAAGGAAGTACCTATTTTTTGTTAGCGCAAAGGAAACTCGAGTATTCTCGTAATGAAGAAGAATCACTCTGGTGATGGAGATGATAATAACTCGAATTGACAACAAACTTGTTTGAATTTAATCACCCCTGCTAATATCCTCAATGCAATCACTCCACCTGCTTCGATTCCACTATGTACAGACCCAATAAATCCTATTGTCATTTATGGTTACACCTTTTATTTTTATATCAAGAAAGAAATATCCTTATAAAAATTTCTCTTACTAATTAAATATCCTAAGATTTGTTGGAAAACTTTTAACAAAAAATAGGTTTTTGTTTTGTTTGATATAATTTGTGTAAATTATGAATGAAGTTTGTTATACTTATAGAGCTAGTTTCCTTTGTATAACAAACTCTCGTAACATACTCCCAAATTTTTTCTGACTAATTTTTAGCTAAAAGAAAAGATCAAATGTTATGTAGGTGATTAATTATTTTTGGTTGGATTAAAAAAAGTACACTAGTTTCATTTATTCTGTACTTATACCTAACTTGCAAGTTTAAGTTTTGGATAAACTAGAACCATATGAATTATCTAGATTTAAAAAAAAAAAAAAATCTTATCAAATAAAAAGTTGTTATAGATTCAGTCAATCCCTCATATTAGCATGTTTAAAAAAAAAAGTTGTTATAGATTCACTCAATTTTTTTAATTATTTTTTTTTTTTTTGGAAGGAAATTCTTTATATCTTATAATAATATTTCAAAATTGCATATAATACAATCCGAAAGTAGTACTTCTTTTTAGTTCATTTTTGAAAAATTTAGTCAAACAAAATTAAATTGGTAGAAAAACAAACAAAATGTCATATCAAATGAAACCAATTATGTATTTTCTTCTAGATCTTAAGTACTTTCGGTCACATTAATCGTTCCACAATAAAGCTTAATAGGCTGTCTTTCTATAAGCCTGCATAACATAGAGACCAACAGCCATGATTATTGTCACTTGTCATGATTTCTTATAGAAACAAGTAACCATAATGTGAAGTACAAAATCACGGTAACATTTGACGAGGAAAGAAACTGATTGTCTACTATAAATGAGTCGTAAATTACAATAGTGCCAAAGGCAAAGAATGAAGAACCAAAACCACGTACTAAATATGAATACAAAATACACTTTATACTTTGCTGGAGATGATGCCTTAAGCTCTTTTACATGGGGCATTATAATACATTACACTGTATCTTATAGAGCTACATGTTCTCTAACTTTTATGACTGGTTCTTTTTTATCAAGTCTTTGGCACAACATATTGACTCTCAATACATGCGCTGCTCCCTAGATGCCCACCTTTCTTCATAATCATACCGCCCAAGAGATAAGGACATGGAAGGAAGCTCAGTCAATTTCAAAGGGTCCGGTTCGATCCCATAATCAGTTAGAGGTCTATTTTCAAGTACATCATCATGACCTTTCACAAATTCTGGGATCTCAACCTCGCCTTTTTTTACGTCATCCCAGAGGTACTGCAAGCGGCTGACATACTTGATTTTCCAATACAAGCTGAAAAACAATTCAAGTTAAGTTTTTATTGAAGCAAAGTGATACAAATAGCAAGCTGATGCAATTTAAAAGATTGATCAACATTACACAAAACATGCTATAAAAACTACTCATATAATCTCAAATAGAAAAATGTATTTAAATCAATAAGAAGTAGAATAAACAAGTAAATACGTAGTATTATACTTCGGTATATAAGATGGATGCAAGAAGCAATGCTGAGCTGAACATTTTCTTGACAAGGTATCAAGTTTAACTGTCTAAATACTTGTGCAATTCAAGGCATTCATTTGTCACTGCTCCAACAAAATATGCTATCAGCTCCATTTCACGAAATCTATAGGCTAATAGGCCAAGTCCAGTCCAGGGCACACAACTTGCAGCAATAGTACAACCCAAAACATTCCAAAAGTTGCACAAAAAATACAGAGTAGCTCTAGTATAACTTCACTACTATTCCCATTTAGATAACTTGTTACTCTCTTGTTCAATTTGGCCATCAATATCACATGAATGCAGTCAAAGACCCTAGATAATATACACTTACAACTTTACAAGCCAGAACCAACAAGCAGTAAGCAATTCAAACTACATAGAAAATATTCCATTAAATAAAAATCAAGGTCTGTAAAAAATCACAATTCAACCAGTTGACACTTGCCCCCATGCTCACAGGTGAATCGACAATATATTTCAAAGAAAACATTTAAGCCTCAATGCATATGCATTTATGCAGTGACACAAATGCAGTACATGAGCTAGTAAGCATTCTGGTAAAGTAAGCAAAGCATTAAACAGAATACTCACTTTCCGCTCAAGAACAACCGTCCAAGTGTTGCAAATGCAAGCCTTGACCGAAGACCAGGGTGAAGAAAATAAACAACTTGAAGTCTATCTTTAATTTCAGCTGGGAGGTCCTCATAAATCCATCGCAAGATGGTCATTCCTGGGGAATTATCCTCCTTTTGTACTGTAGTATGCATATAAACAATTCCAAATGGCCCCTCAGGTAATTCTGTGTAGATTTTGTAGAATACATACTTCTTCAATCGTTCCGAATCGATAACTGGAGCTGAAAAAACCATTGCACACACGAGCTAGTATCAGAATACTCGAAAATAAACCAGTGGAAGAAATTCTCCACATTGTGATTGGTAATCTATCAACACTCAGTGCAAGCAATACTAGGAGAAAAATAACAACCTTTCCTTAAACTTAGTTGTATTAGTTGAATTTTCATATAATAACTGCAAAACCAATTTTACTGCAAAAGATTTTACATATTCATGATATATAAAGCACTTCAACACCATGAAAAAATCAAATATATAAGCACAAGTAAACCAATTGGCATATCATGCTCTCGGGAGTATGATCTAAATATCGGCCAATCGTCTATCATATACCTTGAAGAACATCATTATAAGGAAACTTTAACAATCATAGACCCTAGAAATCAAGAATCATAAATTCATAATCATACAACAATCAGGAACTTTACCAAATGCAATAAAAAATCCTGCAATCAACAATAAAATGGATTTATAATAAACCCTCTAGAAGTTCATCTCAATCAATTCATAAACCCCAGAAATCAAAATTCATAATAAAAAAATATCATAAACAATACTAGATGCAATGAAAAATTATGCGATCAACAATAAATAATCCCCTGAAATTGAAAACCCCTAAAAAGTTCATCCTAATTCATCAACCCTAGAAATCAAAAATCATAAATTGAAAAAAGGATTACCAGGAAAGTATTTTCCGACGATGCGAAAGATACGATTGCCAGATTTATCGGAGCCTTGAAGACGGAAGAAATCACGAGCTTCGAAGCCGGAGAAGTCTTCATCAGCGAAGTAAGAAGGACAATCATGCCAAGTTTCAGTGGGATTTTCAGAGGAATCTAAGAAAGGTCGAGCATCAACTCCTAAGTCTGAAGCTAATACAAATACTGAGAAGTCGTCTTCTTCATTTGCTGTTGAATTCTCCATTGATGAAGGATATGAAGCTTTCTTTCTCTCTCCTCCTATTCTGTGTATAAAAAAGAGAAGGGTGGCTGATTAGTCTAAAAGCTCAAACTGTCTTGTCAAGTTTGTGATTACGGGCAACTCGTGCGTAACACACAAATTATGGTGATTAGACGACCTCTTTACTTTAACAGATTACATATAAGATACTTGTATTTCCTGTGTGGCGGATTTCAGGGCTATTTTCGATTCTTTTTCAAGCTTTTAATAAAAAAACTAGTGTGTGTCTCGGGCGATGCCCCGCCCAAATTGCTAGTTTGTACTTCTTTAACTTGATAATTATGTTCAAGTGTTGTATAGCTAGTGTGTGATTTGGGCGTTGTCCCGGACGTTACGGTTTTTTTTTACTACATATGTATTTATTTTTTAATCTTGTGAAAAATAAATAAATTAAATAAACTCTAATTTAAAAGGAATATATAATGTTAAATATGCGAAATTTAAAACACAAATAAAAGTTGGTAGAGATGGTAAGTGTGTAGCACTTATTTGTGTGAGGTTGAGGGTTCGATTCATAATAAAACCATATTTTATTAATTTTGTTAAATGAAGTCGCAAGCTTACGTGTTGCTGACGTGGCATTATGACATGTTGATCCAAAAAAATAATTATTTCAATAATAATTATATATAAAAAAAATAAAAAATAAAATAAAAAAGCAAAGCATGTTCTTCATCTTCATGAAGGCTTGCAGAGCCCTGAAATTATATATATATATATATATATATATATAAAAAGTTATGAACTGTAATCTTATATCTTATATATTTTTATCTTAAGATTTCTAATTGTGTTTGAGTGATGTACCTGAGTAGAGGTTTCCGTTGTGACTTGTGATGAAGCTAATGATTGATTTCCTCTTGTGTTAATTTGCTAAGAAATATTATGAATAAAAGGGAGTTAGTTTAATATTATATAAATGTAGTACTCGATCTAATTGTATAAATGTACATACCACTGCCTGTCTTTGATAGCCATTAGGACAAGTATAGACCCCGAATCCTCGGTTGTGCATGGGTATCGATGTCTGAGATTGTTGAGTGGCAACTTCAGGTTGATTTTGCTGGGTAGGAAGCATGGGGCAGGTAGTCTTTTTATGGCCTACTTGTTTACAATTGCTGCACTTATGTTGCATCCCCTTCTTTGACATCTTGATCCCCCCTGTGAGCTCGCCAGCAGAAGCCTTCCTCTTATAAGTTCTCCTGTGCTTGACAATTTTTACAGGAGGGGCAAATATTTGTAGGTTATGGGAGCATTCTGGCCATTCGTTAGGGCCATTTAACGGCTCTAATGGAAATTGATATGCTTGTAAGTACTTATCCTTGGTGAGCCACTCATGAACATAGTGTTCGGGGTGTTCCATAGCCTTCCATATTGCTGTCACTGCATGTCTACATGGATAACCCCTCAATTGCCACACATTGCAGCTACATGTCCTATCTAGTAGGCTCACAACATACCTGACTTGTGTTCCCCCTTCCCTTACACCATACTTGAAGTTCCCATCCAAATACTTCAAAACCACTTTGTCATTATAAACATTGACATTATAAGTACAAAATAAATTGATATATACAGCAGCAAACATTAGCATATTAGCCCATTATAGATCATGACCATCCCACTTGCATCCATTTCCATCCCCAAACATTATCACTCAATGATTCTGCTTATTTTTTTTTCGGAAAGATACCCAATGTTTCTAATAACAATGATAAAAAATTTAAAGCCCCAAAACAAGCAAAAGATACTATCACCAAATCGTATATAACAAGAATTAAAAAACAAAAACCATAATTCATCCCCATTTAAGACATAATCAAACTTTCAAAGAGTACTAATGCATGAATTTCACTAAGTACATAAACCCTACCAATTATGCTGGCAAACGAACAACCTAAAAATATACCTCAATTATGTAAATCCAAACAAATAAAACAATTAATTAGAAGAAATACGTACTTTTGATGCTCTTTGCCGCAATTTCGTTGCAAAATTTCCAAATTTGGCTTTCATCCAAACCATTAAGGACAAAAGGAGAGCAATGAAAGTGACGATGCTCTGCTTTTGTTCCCAAAAAGAGGCAGGGACTCAATTCTTTGCAAAGTAAAATATTATAAAAAAAATAAAAATATACTTTTTTATTATTGGTTAACTAAAGGGACTCAATTATTTAACCAAAGGGACTCAATTCTTTCCCTTAATTAATTAAAACTCACCGATAACCCAAGCCCTTTCTAGCCCACTTCTCTTTTCCTCTATAAAATAAATTGAGTCCCCTTTCCCCATATTTTGCAACAATTGAGTCCCCTGTTTTATACTTAACTCAAATAAATTTAGTTCTAATCAAGTGAAAAGAACGCACTTTGTTTTTAAAAAAAAAAAAAATTGAAAAGAATGCACTTTGTTTTCAAAAAAAAAAAAAATGAAAAGAACGCACTTAAAGTAATCATTTTTATTCTACTTACAAGTCCAAAGAAATAATACTTTGTCAACAATTAGCCCAATAATTTCATTATTTTTTCCACCATAACTTTAAATCCTTCAATTTTGTTCCAGCAACTGATACCAACAGTTGCTTTCTTGAAAGCTTTGGTTGCAACTTACTTTTATCTACACAAGCTATAATGTGTTATTGGTAACCATTAGAAAACTTAGTGGCTAAAAAGTAGTTCACGTACATTTGATTGAGATGGCAATGATGCATATACGATCTCTATCCATAAGAGAAAGTTGAGAAATTGTGATAAATAAAGCCTAAATAACTTCTGTCAAAGAAAGTATAGCCCTTTGTAACCCAGAATATTCAACCCAGCTATGTGAAAACTAGGAAAAAGATCGATGTTTGATGTTTCTTTGGCACATAAAATTTGTTTGATTTTACGAGGTTTGCATCAATTACATATTTACATGTAACTATAGGCATAAACAAAGGTTATGATAGGAAGAAATGGATTCAATATTAACACTCACCTTGCATCTCAATTTATACATTATACACCTTGAGGGTAAGACCTCACTACATCAGTAAATTCTGAATTCTGAATTCTAAATTAGCAGTCTCCTATAGACAATACAGAGCAATCTATAATACCACTTAGCAAAGTTTCAACAATTTCGAGGAACAGAATAACAAACTTGCAGATTTGGCACTGCAGCTACACGATAAAAGGAGAACTTGAAACTGAGATCATGATGATCAAAATATTATCACGAGCTCAACACGTCGATATAAGCTTCTAGGCAAAAGGACCAAAATTTTCTGGGAAACCCGAAAGGCGTAGCTGGCTAGCTGCATTGAGGGGCGCTTACTCATATGCATCAGCAAAAGATATCAACTTTCTTTTTGAAAAAAAAAAAGGATGAAGAAGGTAACAAGTTCTGGTTCTGCAATAAGTAATGAGAAAAAAGCTATCTGGAGGCCGGAAAGAGCATAATAAACTCTATCCTTTTGCACAAACAGTCTTTTCTTAGTGAAAAGGAAGTTTAGAATCAAACTTTCTCATCAGGTCAAATCCAATATGAACAACATAACAAACAAATAACTAGAAAACTTCACAAAAGGCATACATGTATCAAGAAGGCTATACATCCAGAAGAGTGCATTGAAAGTAATTCACAATTCATATTATACATCAACAAGCAACCTGTAGGTGTATAATCATAGAAGACTTAACAATGCCTGTTACATATTAATCCCTATCTTTAACTAAGTTGTTGACCATATTTATTAAAGGAAGAGTGCCTTTTGTCATTATTTCTAGCCTAGATGAGTTAGAGGCATGAGCAAAAAGAGACAACCCGAAAACAAAAAGCTCTGGAAGATATAGCCGAGAAGACAAGAATCCATGCCAATGACGTGGTTCAAGATCGAAAAATGCATCAAAAAATTTTCTTGTGCCTGGCAAATCAAGTTTGAGCAGAATATCCATGCCAAAGCAAAAGAACTCCCTTTGCCGCCTCCTCTCTATTGGCCATAAGTCTTTCCACACTCCTGCAGACAGCTCACTTCCAGCATGATTGCTTCCTGAACCAAGATACTGAACAATTGCATTGGCCACGATTGGAGCGGCTGCCAAAGTCCTTGCTACCATATACCCAGTCGAAGGATGCACCATACCAGCAGTTCCACCAATTCCCACAACTCTTTGAGGGATTACAGGAAGAGGGCCACCCATAGGGATCACACAACGTTCATCCTCCTCAATGCGTGTCACTCTTATGCCAAGGTGCCTTAATCGAGCTTCCATTCTTTGTTGAATGTCTTCCATAGGAAGTCCAGGCCGAGCAACAAGTGAGGTTTCCTCCAAGAATATCCTGTTTGAAGAAAAAGGCATGGCATACAGGAAGGTTGGAATCTTGCTATTTCTTTCTTTTAATTCCTTATTACCATCCAAGTGCGAGTCTCTCCAATCCATGAATAACATCTTATCCAAATCAAAAGGGTGCCCTTCAACTTCAGCCACAATGCCATAAGCAACTTGGTAACCAGGGTTGTATGGTTTATCATACTCAACAAGACATCGAGCAAACCCTGTTGCATCCAAAACCACAGAAGCTTGAATTTTGACACCATCATTGCATATAATTAGAGATTTAGATTCTTCATGTATGACTTTTGTAACTTTTGCTTGATGGAATTTCACCCCATTTGTTATACATTTCTGCATCATTTTCGACTTCAATAGCTTTCTATTTACCCTTCCATACGGCCTATCAAGATTCTTCTTCAAACCCTCATCAATGTAAACAACAGCGCCCGACCAAGTAGTATCAAGGCAATCAAGCAAATCCATGGCTTCAAACTCATCCACCCAAACACCATAGTTATTAGGCCATATCAACCTAGGGGATGGATCAATCGAGCACACCGAGAGACCCGCCTCGGAAACTTGCTGAGCAACAGCAAGCCCAGCAGGGCCACCTCCTACAACTACAAGGTCTACCACCATGCCCTTTGATGTATCATACAAGGGTAACTCAAATTCAAGGTTTTCCTTCTTAGTCTCAGGGACAAGCTCCAAAAGGGCACTACTACCTGCTCTAACAAACCCAGTTTTGCACCAATTTTTATGGGGTTTTCTATTAAAATGCTGATTTCCTTTTGAAACAGTCAAATTAGACCATTTTTCAGAAAACCCATAAATTACTGGGTTCCAAAGTTCAAGCTTGGTATGAATCTTAAGGAAAGAACCCATTTATTCTCCAATAAAATTGAAATTAATTCCCAATTGGGTATCTCCAAATCTCACAAAGTTGCTTTAAAATTCTCCAAAAATTGCATAAAAGAAAATTCAACAATTACCAATCATATATAAACAGATCCCTATTACATGCAAACAGATAATTGAAGCAAAAATAGGAATAAAAGTGCAATTATGAAGAATAATTACCAGCTAATGAAGATTAGAGCATTAAATTATCCTTTTTATAAGTGGAATTTGGGCGGTTGAGGAATTGCGCAGTTTTCCACCATGAGAAGGCAATGAAGGAGTAGTGTGAGGAAGTGGGTGACTCTGTACATTGTGTGGCAGAACAAGTGGATTTTATGATGTCTCCAAATTTATTTTGTTATTGAAAACTTAAAAATGTACAAGGGCGGATGGCCTCAGGACCAATCAAAATAGGGATTTGTTAAACATCGCCCACAAATTACTACATAAAGCCCATAAAATTCACTTGGTTTGTCAAAATTGCCCTTGACCTTAAAAAAAAAACACTCACACTCTCATCACTCACACTCTCATTGCTCATCTTCTTTCAACCTCTCTAAAAAAAAAAAATTTCAAATAACGGCAATGTCGAGGCGGCAAGGCAAAGGAATTGGCGGCGGCGGCGGAGGGAAGGATGTCCCAAGGAGGAAAGGTACATTTTGTTTAAAAAAAAAAGGGAAAAACCGTCGTGACCGCGGTGGGGCGCCCTGGCTGGACGCCCAGCCAGCGGTGGTGGCGCCAGCTGCAGACGCCGCCACCAGTTGGCTGGCGTCTGGGCTGGACGACATAGCCACGGTTGTGGCGTTTATTCAAGGCGCCGCAGCCGTGGCTGTGGCGTCCAGCCCAGGCGCCAGCCAACTGGTGGCGGCGTCTGCAGCTGGCGCCACCACCGCTGGCTGGGCGTCCAGCCAGGGCGCCCCCCCCCCTATTTTTTTTTTTTTTTAAAAAAATTGTTTTTAATTTTTTTTTTTTTTGTGTAATATAATTTTGAATTGTTTTTATATTTTGTTGTTTATTTTTATAATTTTTTTCAATTTCGTTGTATTTTTTCTACGTTTATATTTTGTTTACAATTATTTGTATGTTTTTAGTTTATTTGATTTGCGATGATGATTATTTATCGTATAAATTTTTGTATGTTTATATATTTTAAAATTTTGTGTAGAATTCACTGGGTCGTCATGGTGCGGGGAAAAATATAGAGCTTCTTAGTAGAAGTTATTCAGTGGAGAGGTCGGGGCATAGACACGTCAGATCCCGTGGTATTTCGGCCTCAGTTCGTAGAGAACGGATCCACCGTCGGGATGAGGATGACGATGACGATGACGATGATGATGCTGAGGAGGGTGACCAGGAGGAGGAGCAGGAGGAGGGCGCAGATGAGGATGAGGATGTGGACGATGGCAGTGGACCGTATGATGATTACGGTCCATTCAGTCAGAGGGTTGATGACATGTACGAGACGCATATGGTGGAGGTGCGTAAGGGTAGGGGTGGTAGGTTTGTTAGTAGATTTGGCACATCATCTGCGTCCACTGTATCTGGGGCAAGCAGGAAACGGTCGAGGGCCGGTAATGATTCTTGGGTTGTTAGGAGTGAGGTGCCCGGTGGGCCTGTTGACGGGAGTGTGATTCCTAGCTTTCTAGGACACATAGCTGCTCGTATTTGGGAACACCCTAGCCACAATGCACGATAAGATTGACAGTACGCTGATCACGGCTTTCATTGAGCGATGGCAGCCGGATACAAACTCTTTCCACCTTCCGTTCGGTGAGATGACGATCATGTTACATGACGTCGAGGCCATTGGGAGTCGTCGTCGAGGAGGGATTACTGATGGTTATTGTATTTTATTTATAGAGCATTATGTTGGACATTATGTTGTAAAATTGTAACATTTTAGATTGTTCTTTTAGCTTCCAACTTAAACATATTATCAGTGCTGTTTTTAAATTTTGATATAACCGTTCGTGGATCCGCGCAACTTACCCATGCAACATATAGAATGCAGTAAGCAATACAATATAAAATATTAATGTTCTCATTAAAAGAGCAACGTACAAATAAGATTACAAATAAAGAATGTAAACATGAAAAACTAAAATGCAGCTAGGGTGTTCCATTCGTGGATCCGGTCATTATATAGCGCATCCCAACCCTCTACGCTCGCTGTGCGAATGTTGTACCACCGAGGTATAATCGGTGGCACTGGAAAATCGGTTGACATGTCTAGTCGGATGAAATGTCTGTATGACGACCCAAGAAACGCAATAGCTAGCTCTCTGACCGGTGTGGTGACAGTCTCACGCGACCGCCAAGGGAGAACCGTGGTACAAGGATAATAAGCTTGACTATGCACTCCCAGGCCGAAATGCATGACTGCGCATTTGTAAATGTTTGCAACAGCAAACAGATCTAGGGGCGCGTCAAAATAATGATTTTCGCCGCAAGGTCCACCTCCCCACCGGATACGCCGCAGAGCGCCATCCAAGTCATCCTGGTACACATGACGATAAACATTTCGGTTAGAGGCAATTTCGCTG